TGGGGGTGGGGGGAGGATTCTGGGAAGAGGGAATGGCCAATGCCAACCTCAAGGGCTAGAAAGCAGGGCCAGAGAGGTGCTGCAGAGAGGAAGTTACCAGCAGGTACCACCAGGCAGTTCAAGCAACTTAGGGGTTGGAGGACCAATCGTGGAGGGTTTCACAGGTTGTCATGGGAACCTGGGATTTCTCTTAAATGTGGAGCTGCTGCAGGCTCTGAGCAGGGGTGATGTGCTCTAATTTACAAGAATGTAGAGATAGGCAAATGCTATACGAAGGTTTTAATTTAAAAAAAAGACACTGAGTCAATTTAAAGAACTTAAGAGCTCATGAATTAGGTTACAATTTGTTCTGAAGTAGTAGTAGGACCAATGCCCCTGTTTCAGCTACTGATCCTTCATTTAGGTCTCCGTCCAAATATCACCTCCTCCAGAGGTTCTCCACAATTGCATTTATCTAACATCATCCCCCCCCCCCGACTCTGTAGCCTGCTGCTTTGTTTTCCTACATAGTGTTTATCACTCCTTGACACTATGTCATATGTTTGTTTAATTAGTCCCTGTAGTAACATGTAAACTCTGAAAGGTGAGGATTTTGTTCTTTTGGTTACCACTTCTGCTCGACACCTGGTAGACCACCTGTCACAGAGTGGGAGCTCAATACCAATTTGCTGAATGAATGAATGAATATCCCAGAGGTCTGGGGAACCCTTCAGTTTTAGTTCACGAACAAATAGGCCATGAGACTGAGGGATAAATAGTTAAAAATAAACTGTCCATCAAATGATAGATTATGTTCCACTGTTAGTTGGTTTAACATTTTTATATTTAGAGTGACTGTGGTTCATCTTCATGTTTACATTGTGTTCTTCATCACACTGCTGTATCCATAGTGTGGAAAACTCAGAGAAGGGGAGAAAAAGATTTTACAACTTTATGCTCTTATGTACATCATGATTAATGTAATTTAAAAATTTTTTCTTCTGTAGTTTTTCAAAGTTGGCTGCATTCTTACATGGCCTCAGTATATCCAAAGATAAAATAATTTTCTCTGATTTTTAATCTAAAGCTCCTTTTGGATTCTAAATTTATGTGGCTTTATATACAAGCCAATAAAAAACCCAAGCCATTGAGCAGCTTATGCTCTTTACCTCTAACATACTGTATTAAGTGGGGAATTCCCGTGTTATTCCCACAGAGACTAGACCTTCAAGATGACACTCCCTCGTCACCAAGCTCTCATCTTGCCTGGTTTGAATTTATTGCCCAGTTTAGGATTTTAACCTACTATGAAAAATATCAAGAATTTTGGGGAGTTCTAGCAGAATAATGAAACCTCATTAATTCTGAGTTCACCCTCCTGCCCCAAAAGGTACAAATTTCAAATCACTACAGCTTATTTTCACACTTTCTATGAATGAATGGGGTGTTATTAAGCAAAATCAATAACATAAAGAAGTTGGAAGAGAAAAGCTTGTCTACAAAAGATAAACTGCTTTCCACCATGTGGAAACATCATGCACCAAACACGGCGACTGCAGCAGAAACAGGCGGGGCTTGCAGGCGGCACTCGGCGGATGGGCCGGTGCAGGAATCACAAGTCGGTGGACAGCTGTCAGGGGCCATCCTTCTCTGGTGGACACGGTTCTGCTGCCAGGTGACGTTTGCTAACACAGGAGGTGGTGCAAAGTGAGGCATTAAGAGCCAGGCAATATGGAGTCACTGCTCCAAATCTATGAAATTTATCTTTGAAGTGAACAATTTAAAAAATGATTAGTCTCTTGGCCACTTGCTGTTCACTCAGGCTGTGGCAGTAGTTTTATTTGTTATTTCCACTAGAATCCCAGATAGAGTAAGGTGAGTGATATCACAGAAAGGGAAGAATGAATGGCAGGGAAACAACTCATTTGGAGACTGAGGGGAGGCAGCGGAGAGGCATGTAAGGAAATTAAATCAGGCCTCAGCAGGTGGGTTCTCCTTGGCCACCAACATTGGTGAAACCTTTTTGAGGGGGTTATAGATTTTCGCACCTCAGATAAAAGGGGGCAATGTTCCCTCCTAACTCCTGGGCCAACTGACCTAGAGTAAGGCATGCAAAGGGTTTTAAACGTGTAAATGATGATGATGATGATGATGATGATGATGATGATGATGATGAGACTACTATCGATAATTGTATGCTAACAATCTGAGAATTTATGGAATGATAGCTACCATTCTAACTTTACATGTTGTTATTGAATGAATTGTCATACCCCCACCCCAAAATCACATTTGAAACCCAGGCCCCTCAGGTGTGTATGTGGAGAAAAGGCCTTTAAAAGGAGGTAATTAAGGTTAAATGAAGTCATAAGCATGGACCCAAATCCAATAGGACTCAAGTTCCTATAAGAAAAGAAAGAGAAACTAGGAGTGTGTGCGCACCAAGAATGGACCAGGCAGGGACACAGTGAGAAGGTGACCATCTATAAGCCAAGGGGAGGTGCCTCCCTGGAACCAGTCTTGCTGGCACTTTGGTCTTGGACTTCCAGCCTCCAGAACTGTAAGGAAATAGATTTCTGATGTTTAAGATATCCAGTGGCTTTTGTTCTGGTAGCCCTAGCATACTAACACACATGTGTTATCTCATGTAATCCTCATTTCAAAAGATATCCATCCACACTTTCAGATAAAGAAATAGAAGCACAGAGAAGTTCAGCAACTTGGCTAAAGTTGCACAGCTAGTCAATGGTAAAAGTGGAATTGAATCCACCCAACCTGATTCCAGAGCCCATGTTCCTACCTGCTGATATTATGTAACATAAAATACCATGATTAATATCCACAGTGATACAAAATAGATGCTTTTATCAGAAAAACCTATAGCAAATAGTGAAAACCTATAGCAACAAACTTCTACATGTACTATGGGCAATGGGTGTCTAATTTTATTCCCTTTCTTCTTCTTTTCTTCCCATCGTCCAGACCACACATACTGTATCTAGCTCAAGCATTATTTAAGCCTTGGGGATCTGGCAGTAAGCCTGTGAGGTCCATGTTCCACTGTATTTTGTGTGCTAGTGAGGAAAGGCAGCTAAGAACCAGACAGAAAGAGCAGTGATAAATGCAAAGACAGAAATGAAATAGGAAGTGTGGTGACAGGTGGGGGCGAGCGTGGTCCTTTCGTCCACCACAAGTTCTTGCATGGACACCATGAAACAACTGTGGATGGGACACATCTCCCACGCAGTACCTTGGCCTCCTGTTTCTTTCTCCATGAAATGAGGCTTTTGTTCTAACAGCTGATGACTTCTCTGATTAAGTCAGGATGTAACTTAGGCAATGTTCACCTGAGCCCAAGCATTATGTATAATGAAATAATAAATGCTATAGTAAAATGCATTCTCTACTTTAGAATAGCCCTGAAGTTTTACAGTGAGAAATACAAAGGTCACAGGGGGAAAAAAAGAGGGGAAGGGATCATTTAACTGGATCTGAACAGGCTTTAGCTGTGACAGTATTATTTACCCACGTGGATGCTTGGTATATAATATTACACCTGCATACTGGTTATATAATATTTACCTGGGGGTGAATATGAAAAAGGAACTTAAATAAAGCATGAAGATTTAAGATTGATATAAGGAAAAGTTTGGGAGGTTATACAGAAAGCCAGACATTGGAGAAAATTCACAAAATTATGAATTCTTTTTCCCTGGAAAGCTTAATCAATCAAAGAAGTTGTTCTTTGGTGTGACCTTATTCAGAAGTAGAATAAACTGGCTCACTATAGGGAATCCTTGGCCCCAGGAGGCTCTGATAATTACAGAAGGTAGTTTGACATAATACAACTTCACATCCTACCCCCAGGTCCCCTGCCACTACGGCAGGGCAGAGTAGCGCTCTTCCTACCTGTTGCATTTTAAGGCAGCAATTTGTGCTAAGAGGAAATACTTGAACAGTGCCTCCAGGAATCCCCACATGGGAGTGGATGAGTGAAATATGTACCGCAGGACTAAGCACCAACTCACTTAAAAGAGGCAGAGGCAGAGAGAAGCCTGCAGGCAGAAACACAGCCTGCCTTTGTGTGTTAGAACACGCATGGGGCATGTGGAAGGCCTACAGAAACATGGTGAAGTGACTGCGTCAGAATTACAGAATCACTTCATTATCAGGATGGATCTTTAGGATCAGGATGGACCTTTAAAGAAGAATATGCGACTCACAGAATAACCTCACTCACTAAATAAAAATAGCCCTAAACAAGAATATGTGAAACAGACAATTACAAGATTGGAATCAACAGCCTGTCACTTCACTTAACGCTTTAAGTGAAGTGTTGGCCCTGGGAGAGGGGACCAAGTGCAATTCAAAATAGCAAAGCTCTTAGAAAAAAGGAGTAAAGAATATTTATTATACAGTAGAAACCACTTCATACATTTGATTTAAAAGCAGTAATTCAATAAGCCAAAGATATACAATATTCATTAGCAAACACTTGTGGACACATTCACAGAACATTTGAATCACTATAACTATTAGTATTTGAAATAGCATGTATGTATAATTATATTTTATAATTTTATCCACTTTGATTTCTCCTATTGTGGGGAAATGAATGGCCAAAAAAAAATCTGTTAGGGAAATTCTAGATGCTTGCAGATTTTTTGACATTTGTCTTGGGAACCCTGGTGTCTGAAAGAGCCTAAGCAATTATATTCACCCAGTTGTGTGTGTTCATAGAGCAGCAGGCTCACACCAGCACCTACGTCATTGCTGGAGCCACATCACTTTTCTTGGCATCCTGTGGTTTGATTCCCATGCTGAGAACAACAGGCTCCGTGCACTCCCCTCACATAACGCTAATAGCTTTATCGCTGTCTGCTGCATTCTCTTTTCTCTCCAAAATCATCTGGACCTTTAGAGCTTCAAACCCTGGTAAAGTGATGCAGAAAACTGCATCCAGCTCAGAGAAACAGGCACACAGACTCCATTGGCCCGTGAAGAGAAGGCCAGTCCCCTACCTTTGTCATAAATTTCCTTCAAAACTCCTCGTTTTATCAGCTCCTCTCTGCTTTGCCTCATTGATATTTTCCGCTCCAGGGCTACAAGCAAAACAAACAGAGAAGCAGTTGTAAAAAGGTAACAAAATGATTTTTAAAGGAATCATATTTCAATACACTGAAATGTAATGTATGGGAAAGCTTCTGTAAATTCTACTTTACTTATATTAGTTAATGACATCAGCTAACATTTTTATGATACTATGATAAGCATTTTAATCAGATATTTCATTTAATCTTCAAAACCATCTTCAAATTACCTATGGGGTAGGCATTAGTACTTCATTTTTTGTCACCCCAGTTTACGGTAGAGGAGACTAGCAGAGAGAAGCTCAGCAACCTGCAAGTTGCAAGCTCACTGAGAAGAGGAACCAGGATTGAAACCAGAAACATGACCTCTGATCTCAGTTTGACCTCTGTGTCATAGCGTGTTTTCCTAAGTGTGGCATTTTTTCATAGATGGGATTCCTTTCTTAAAGATGTAGTAAATGTAGCTCACGTCCCACTGAGGATTTTTTGCTCCCCAGCTAATACAAAAATGGTATGCAAATAGCCCCTACAGAGCTCTCTGGATGCAGAGACTGAGGGGCGGTGGAGGATCTCCAGGGGACAGCCCACCACCGCTGTCTTCTCTCCATTCCAAGCTGGAGCAACGGAGTGAGGAATGGACTGTTCCACTACCAAATGCGCCTCCATCAGGATCCACCACTTACCTGAGCCAAAAAGCTCCGGCAGGTGGGAGCTGAAGGAAGGAAAAGGAACATTTCGTTTCAAATCAGTGGGCATGATGGAGGGTAGTTCAAGTGGAAATAGAGCACAGGAGTGGGGCAGTGAGGGGCAGCACCAAAGAGCAGCCTGTGGCTCAAGGTAGGGTGGGAAGATGAGCAGCACCCCTGCAAGGAAGCACGCTATTCCAGCAGCTGTCACTGCGCTTTCTGGGTGTATACTGAGTGCAGGAGGACAGAGGTTATTCTGGTGGCTGCTGTCAGTTTGAAAATCTCCATATCCTTTTGATACACAGTTATTCAGTGGAAAAACCAGTTATAAAATAAGGAAACTATTTTATGCAAACAAAGTCAGATGCAGATTACTCTCTCTCTCACTCATACATACATACACATGCAATAATCCAGTATAATTTAGTACAAAGAATGGCAATAAGAACTAGAAAGCAAACAAGGAAACAGACTGTGATTCTAACTCAGTTACCCACTAGCTATGTGACCTTAGTCAAGTCACTTCGTCAGTCTGGGAAAACACTCAGCCCCAGCTACTCTGATTTAATAGGTCCAGGATGGGACCTTCGTATCTATCTATATTGTAATAAAAAGCTATCTGGGTTATTCTCAGCCATATCAAGACTGAAAATCACTGATGATCTATTTTGAGAGTTAAATTATAATGAATTAAGGGTCATGAGGCAGAAAAAGAAAGATGCATGTAAACACACCCCCAGAGGTGAGGGCAGGAGGGTTGTATGAAAGAGCAAGCATCAGTGGTGGGCATAGGGACCAATGGAGCAGTGTTTGTTTGGGGGATGAAGGAGCTTTATGACCCCATAGCAAATGACATGATACACGGTGACAGAAGAGCAGAAAGACATTCTTTATGAAGAAGAGGAACAATGAGAGAAGGGAGAGAGAACTGCATACTGTTAGGTTAGAAAGTTCTGCCTGACTTAAAAACAATTTGCTTAGCAGCACAATGGGAAAAGATTGGATAGACCAGGGGAGATGGGGTTTTAAGCAAGAAGTTTGTTACCAGATTTTCTGAGTAACATAAAGCCACCCAAAAAGCACACATAAAGACCTGCTTTGCCACCCTGTCTGAACCACATCCATTGAACAGATTTGTCTTAAACAAAATGAAGTTTCTGAGGGGCTTTTCAAGCCCACAGAATAAAGTAGATGGCCCGGATCCATAGTGCCAAACCAAGTGCCTACAGCGAGATGGGTGAAACCGTGGCCTGGAGGTTCCAGACCGCAAGTATCAGTAGAACATAGATGATCTCAGGCCAACCACTTAGCCGTCAGGACCTCAGCTATCTCACTGCTGAGGGACCAGCTGCCCATGGTCAAAGTCACTCTGCTAGGTGCCAGAGGTGATGGTGACCAAGGGGACAGTCCCTACCTTCACAGAGTTTACAGACTAATGTTTGATTCAGTAATCAAATGATATTACCTGATTATAAACTGAGATAGGTCCTCTTAAAAGAAAGGGACGTGGTTCTAAAAGAATATTACAATATATAACCTCTCCTCCTGGGGCATTAGAAAAGGCTTTCCTGAGGGAGAGACCTCTGAGCTGGGCCTGAAAGATGAAAATACATGATCTCAGCAAAGGAGAGGCAGGTATGGGCTTCGGGACACACTCCAGACATAGCAAGCTGGGCCATGGCTCCTGATGGAGAAATCACGGCGCCACAGACAAAAGGAAAGCAAGCTTGTGTAACTGTACCGCCAGCACCGGGTGGAGAATGATTCAAGATGTGCCCAGAGGGGCAGATGGGCTGGGTAAGGCAGGGCCTCACAGACCATGCTATTCTAAGGGTAGTGGGAATAAATGATTAGAGTTGAGTATTTGAAAGATCAGTGCCCACGTTGGTGTGGAGAATGGACTGGAAGTAGGCCAGTTGTGTAGGTGATTACAGCAGTCTAGGCAGAAGGTGGTGGCAGCTGGTGAAGGATGCATTCCAGACACACGAAGGGTGGCACTGTTGCCATGACTTAAAGTTAAGGATTCAATGTGGGATGTGAAGAGAGAGAGGTCAAAGACAACTCCTTTGGTTCCTGACTTGCATACTGAATGGACGATGGTGTCAACTACTAAGGTGGGGGACATGGGATAAGAATCAGGTTTGGAGGGATGGTGGAAAACTCACTGTTAGCCATGCCCAAAAAGGGACATCAGGTATGTGCGAGGGAAATGCAGTCGGGTATTTCATAACACAAGGATGGGGAGTTAAACTAGACTGTGCTGAGCAGTGCTGACTGTGCTGGACTCTCTCATGCACCGAGCTGGTCCATGGAGAATCTCCTAGCAGCACAGGAGTGATGCCAGGGGCTCTGAGGGTATGACTGGGCCGCTTGTTCCAAGCTTGCCATTTCTTTAATGTATTGGGTTTCTCCATGAGAACTAAGGTGACCTCACATAATGTATCAGCTCTTGTTTAAGAAAGAAAATATCCTCTCACCCACTACCACAGATTTTTAATTTTGATTGACATTCTGGGAAGAGATGGCTGAGTTACTCTCTGGCTTTGTCCATTTCCTGGCACAGAACCCTGTGCCCACAGAGGAGACACAGATCATTTCGAGAAGGGCAGAATGCCATGTAATTTAGCTTAATCCTTACCACTATCCTGTGATGCATCATCATCCCCATTTTACAGATGAAATACCTGAGGCCCAGCAAAATTAACTTGCTCGGAGCCACACAGCAGTACGTGGAAGAGCAGAAAGAGATGCTGGTGCCTGTTTTCTACCCCACGATACCATTTGTTATGAAGATGGGTACAATGTATGTAAGGTTCTAAAATTAGAAGGCAACTGTATTATTAGTTTATTTTGGGCTCAACATCACAGTAAAATAACATAATTACACTAAATAAATAAATAAATAAATTTAAAAAAGCTCTTCCTTCTATGGCACTCTTCACTCACTCTTTCTTCTAACGAGGTGTGTGTGCTGCCTCTCTTCTCATCTTATTTTCAGCAGCCCTTCCAAAGTTGGAGCAAAGTGTAACTGGGGCCAAAGACACACTCACCACCACTCCAGGCAGTGGAATAAAATGGATTGTTTGATGCAGAAGGGCAAGTCAAAGCATTTGACCTTGTCTCCCGCTGAGCCATGAAACACAGGAGGAAGAGGATTTAATGCGGGGGAGAAATATAATGACTTCCTTTTCACTAACCAAGGCTAGGTCCAATCTTCCCTCTCTAACAATTTTGGTTTGGGGTAGAACAAAGACAAAACAAAAAAGAGCCAAGATATGGAATCAACCTGGGTCCACTGATAGAGAAATGGGGAAAAAAGATATGGAACATAATATATTCTGGAATATGACTCAGCCATACAAAAGAATGAAATCTTGCCATTTGTGATAACATGGATGGACCTAGATAGTAATATCCTAAGTGCAATAAGCCAGAGAAAGACAAATACCATATGATTTCACTTATATGTGGAATCTAAATAACAAAATAAACAAATGAAAGAGAAATAAGTTCACAGATACAGAGGACAAATTGCTGGTTGCTAGACGGGAAGTTTGGGTGGCTGGGTGAAAAGGGTGAAGAGATTAAGATGTGCAAATTGCCAGTTATAAAAACAGTCACAACACAGCATAGAGAACACAGTCAGTAATATTGTAATAACTGTGTATGGTGTCAGGTGGGTACTGGACTCATGGAGGTGATTGCTTTGTGAGTTATATAAATGTCTAATCACTATATTGTGTCCCTAAAACTCATATGTCAACTGCAATCAGAAGAATTAAAAATAATTTAAATAAAACAAAGGAGAAATTATGAAAAGTTAAAGACGCCAGAAGAAGAGGACAAGTGCTGGGAAAGAGAGAAGGTGTAATGTGTATTGCACCTGCGCAAAGGTCAGCAGGAATGCATCGGACACACGAGAGCCAGGTGTGATGTTGAGCCAGTCCGCTGGGGAGCGTTGGGTCTGGAGGGTGGGCAGTGCAAGTTAAATGAACAAAACCATCCCTCTCTCTCTCTTTTTAAAAAATCCTCGCCTGAGGATATGTTTATTGATTTTAGAGAGAGAAGAAGGGAGAAGGAGAGAAATATCAATGTGAGAGAGAAACATTGATCAATCGCCTCCCTTAAATATCCCAACTGGAGATTGAGCCAGCAGTCTAGGTGTATGCCCTGACCAGGATGGAACCCGCAACCTTTTGTGGTGCTTGGGATGATGCTACAACCAACTGAGCATCCTGGCTAGGGCCATCCATCTCTTTTTTAAAAAGAAAACTGAGAAACTGCCCTGTTAGACATGTGGCAAGAAGCATGTGGGTGGGTATTATT